AATCGCTACGAAATTTGAATATATAAATATACAGTTGAAAATACAAAGATTATTTAGAAATTTTTTTTGTTCTTAAATATTATATATTATACTATTTATCTAAAAAAGAAAATTATGATCCTCGACAATTGGTGCACCCTCGGCAATTGGTGCAGTTACCCTAGTAATTGCTGTTTTAAAAAATCAATCCGGGAATATTTATTTTTGGTCCGGGAATTTAAAAATAATAATTCACTAGACACCTTGAATTAATTTTTAACTTGATATAATAATTTTAATTCACTAAAATGAATTTAATTTTAGTTTTTAATAGAATTAATAAAAAAGAATTTAAATGTTTTTGGATATCGATTTTTTTCAAAAAATAGGTTATTATTGTATTATTTTTAGTTGTCAGTTATGGGAAAGTCGAGAAGCAGTCGAGAAGTTCGGTCGATGACAATTAGAAAATTAGACGATACGATTTGACAATTAACAAAAGAATAAACAAGATGATCGTTTGAAAACCAAAGACGATAACCAAATAATCGCTCGAAAAAATGAAATTCTCGGATCGAAGTGAAACACTAACTTACAGAAATATAAGTCATTTTTCACTGATTATCCATTTAAAAAATTATTGTTGATGTCTGCCAAACAAATACAGGGTTGCCACGGACCTGGAAAACCTGGGAAACCCGGAATTGTCATGGAATTTTTTTTCAGTCATGGAAAACCTGAAAAATCTGGAATTGTCAGGGAATTTTATAAAGCCTGATACTAAAAGCTCAATTTTTTGTATTTGAGTCGTAAAAATTTCAAGTTTTCAAGTTGACATACAACTTTTTGATTTTAAATTTAGTGCTTACAATTGAAATCAATATGGCATTTCTAAATTTTAGTTTCTTTTGGTCTCTATCTTCCTTTAAATAATTTTTAAATTAATACATTTTAGAAACCCCAAAATGTTATGAAACTGAAGCTACCAACTTTTATGCAATGAAAATTTTTTCTTTTGCTAATTGTTTTTTAATGTAAGAAGCCCTTTAAAAAATTGCAATCGAAAAAAATTGCTTCTGAAGCAAGGAAATAATAATTTAGTTAAAATTTCGGGATATTTGGAAAATCTACGAAAAAATAATTAAAAATCACTAATTTCCTTGCCTTCCTTAGATCCTCTTACAATTTTTTTAAATGACTTGTCACATTAAAATAAATAATTTGTAAAAGAAAAAATTGCTTATGAGGTGAGGAAATAATAATTTTGTTTAAATAATATATGGATTTTTCGAAAATCTGTGTAAAAAATCAAAATTAATAATTTCCCCGACTTCGATCTTTTAAAATTTTTTAAAAGGCTTCTAACATTAAAATAAATAATTAGCAAAGAAAAAATTGTCATTGAATAAACGTAGGTAACTTCAGTTTCATAAAATGTTATTAAAATGCTTTTTAAAATACTGGTTTAATAATTGTGAAAAATTCTAAACTTAACTAAATTTTTAAATTTAAAAAGATTTGCTCCTCATCTTTCTTCGGAGCGTATCTCAAATAACCTTACAAATTTTAACTTAATTTTTTGTTAATAATGAAATTAAAAATTAATAACTTATTTTGTTAACAATTTACTTAAAGGATTTTATACTTTTTGTCGTAATTAGCTAAAAACATACCAAAACAATTTTATTTCTGGTTTGGAATTTTTTAAGAAATGGTCTGGAAAACCTGGAAAAGTCATGGAATTTTAAAATCGATGTCTTGTGGCAACCCTGAAATAAATAAGTAAATACACAAGTAAATAAATAAGTTCCATTACAACACAGACAGCGCAGCATTAGCGAGTGAGGTATTTACGTATATTTAAAAAAATTTCAACAGACACTACGTGCATCAACGAACCTTAAAAAATTCAACAATTTATATTATCAATCGTTTATTAAATCTATACATATATGTGATTTGTGTATATGTAGGAGTTTATGTCTGCATATGAGCAGTATACATGTGTATGTAATTTATGAACATGTGTGAGTATACATGTACATGTGATTAGTGTATATGTGTGAGTATACATGTGTGGGTGTTATGCGCGCATGCTTGATATTCATAGAACACTACTGCGCATGCCTGATATTCATAGAACACTACTGCGCATTCCTCACATTGATAGAACACTACTGCGCATGCCTGACATTCATAGAACAATAGTGCGCATGCCTGACATTGATAGAACACTACTGCGCATGCCTGATATTCATAGAACACTACTGCGCATGCCTGATATTTAAAGAACACTACTGCGCATGCGTAATATTGACAGAACACTACTGCGCATGCGTAATATTGACAGAACACTACTGCGCATGCCTAATATTGACAGAACACTACTGCGCATGTGTAATATTGACAGAACACTACTGCGCATGCGTGGCACTAATAGAACACTACTGCGCATGCATTATAGTGATAGACCACTACTGCGCATGCGTTATAGTGATAGAACACTACTGCGCATGCGTAACATTGACACAACACTACTGCGCATGCGTAACATTGACAGAACACTACTGCGCATGCGTAACATTGACAGAACACTACTGTGCATGCGTGACATTGTGAATATGTATACATTTGTGTTAATATTATTTTTAAAAGATATACATATATATACGGCTAGGGTCGGTCGGTCGGTCGGTCGGTCGGTCGTTCTTCAACTTAATATAATAAGAGATATATAAATAATTTATCGTTTAAAAACTTTCTCTATTTTCATCAACAACAAAAAATTACACATTTAAATTAAGATAGTGCCAGATTTAGAAATAAATAAATTAATAAAATTAATGTCTGGTGATAACACCATATGGTGATGAAAACAAATTAAGTTGTGTTAGATTAATCAAAAATTTTAATTCCCAAAAATTTTCATTTTTTGTATAATTCTACTTCTTTCCTAATTTTTAAATGCAATTCCTTATGTTCATAAAGTTTGACTATGGTGAAATTCACACAACGTTTATAATCAACGATTTAGAAAAAAAAAAATATTTTTCAATTCAAAATTTGAATATATTTTTGTATAAAAAAGTGTTTTAAATAATATTTTGATCAATTAATTTCAAAAAAGAAATGTCCCTAAAGTTTTAAACGTTAAAATGAACGACGATAGTTTTATTACTTTTCTAAATTTTGAATTTTATTTCTAAAAACTATTTATTATAGTATTTATTATTTATTAAACTATTTTTTGTCATTAAAAAATTAATTTTCAACTAAATCAACTATATTGTTACTAAATCAACTATATTTTAATTCAAATAAAATAAATTTAATGAAATTTTGAACTGAATAAAATGAATTAAATTATATTTTGTGTTTCAGTCATATAATTTTTAAAAATACTGCAGCGCAGAAAAATATTTCGTTCATTTTGAACGTCGAAAAATTTCGAAAAATAAGAAGAAAAATTTATAAACAAAATATATATTGTTATTTTCGTCAAGAAAAATATTTTCTTTTTTTCAATCGTTCATCAACTTCACCGACGTAAGATTCGAACTTTTAAATGAAAGACAATACTTTTTACTAATTTGTATTTTCTTATAAAAAAAATTATTTTGTTAGAAAAAATTTATTTTAAACTAAGTAAAAGAGAATTTTAATTATTTTTTTCTTTTGTATAATAATTTTGAAAAATCATTTGAAAAAAACTTTCGTTTATATGAACATTCAAAACTTTATAGAAAAATAGATACTTTTTCTGACTTTTCTGACAGCTGAACACTTTATGTAAACATTTAGACTTCATTCTGTAGTTTGGTAATGATTATTGATATATTTTAGATTCGGTGTCGCGAAAAATAATTACTCAACTCTTTTCTTATTATGAACCTAAAGTCCGCAACGTTTTTAAAAACGAAAAAATACCAAATAACAAATACCAAATAATAAAAGAAGATGAATTTTAATTTTGTATTACTCTACAGAAATCAGTATAAAAATTTGCCAGTGAGATTGTAAAATTTTAGATTGAATTTATTGTTTCGTGCATCTGTAAATGAACCGATTTGGAAATGAAAAAAGAATTTAAATCAAATACTTGCGAAATTTATCCGGGTCTAGAAAATAGCTTCATGGCAAATGCCGTTGATCGTTCCTTAATTGGAAGAAACCGACAAATAACATAGGTCGATTAAGCGAGATAACTCGGTTCAAAGTCCTAACAGGTTAGTCTGCTCCTTTCCTCACAACTATACACTGGTCCCTTTCTTCGACTACAGTAATTGTCAAAATGAACACCAAAGAAAAATAAAAGAAGCGTTTCACCTGCAACATCCTCAAAATTTCACTAATTTCAGTTCCCTAACAGCAACCGGATATTCCGATATCAATTAATAATTAATTTTCGGTCATCTTTACGACCTTTCGATGTACTTCGATCATCATTCTTCCGATAAAATAATTTTCGATTATCTTTATAACCTTTCGATGTACTAATTTTCGGTCATCTTCATGACCTCTCGATGTCTGGAATCCAGATATCTGGATTCCAGATATCGAAAGGTCATGAAGATGACCGAAAATTAGTACATCTGTTGAGAATTCTCAAAGTATCCTCAAGGACGTTTCTTGGACATTAGGATATTGAAACTTCTGGATATGACAAGGACGTTTGTAGTATTTCCTGAAATAAGTTCGTACTTTTGGTATTTTACCCCTTTTTTGCGAAAAGTATTTTCGTACCGTCCGCTCCACTGACAAAATAACATCTAAAATTCTAATTCTCGTCGAAGTTGTTATTGTAAGTAAAAATGTCCACTCGACAGTTGTCACTTGATAAGTAATCAAGATAACAACACGTATTTTTAACTTATCTACCTACTGTGTTTGGTGAAAAGTTTCGAAAAATAATAAAGTTTCTAAAATAAACCTTCTGCCGTTAGTTTCCAGCAAAAACGTGATTAATGAAAATAAGGAAGTGCTTCAAAAAAAGAAAAGAAAACAAATCTGTCTGGACGTACCAGAGTAACACCAAGCCGGCCAGACGACGGGACTCTCGGTGTCCAGCTCCCTCATTCTTTCAGCGACCCTCGGACATCTCCACTCCGTTCGTCTTGCCGTTGCGGTTAAAATGTCCAGGTTGTCAAGTAAAGGAGTACCAGGAAAGCGAAGAAAATGTGCTTCGTCGACTTGTGTGAGAGAGAGAGACAGGATAGTACAACTCTTTTTGAACCCCCAAAGAGATATAAATCACCACCGAGAATCTGAGATTCCTTCACAAAAAGAAATCTGTCGCGCCTTTGTGCCACACAGCTCTCAACTTTCGCACACTATCTTTTACTTATCAACACTTCCAGAGGTCATGTGACTCTTGGGCACAAGATAAGTCCGACCCGAGTGTCAGAAACTGATATCCAACTGATTAACGATTGATATTACTTTCATGATGATTGTCAGCAGATTTGTTTTATTCTTTTCACGAATGTTCGACAAAATTTCAGAATTTGTAAAGTTGTCTTTATCAATACATGCAACAATCTGCTTCCGCCGTGCCGTGCCAAGATACGATAAGGCAAACAGTGTTTGCAAACTCTCCAGGCTGATAAGGCACGAGCATTAAAGTGTTGCTCTCATTTCTTTGACAGCTGATGATGTCTCTTTGATTTTTACACAGAAACTTAACGGATGCACCACAGTCACACGCACTATTTTTTTCTTTTCACTGACGAAAGGAACCAACCGTACCGAAGGAACCAAATGTACCTAAGGAATCAACTGCTCCAAAGGAACCAAGTGTACCAAAAGAACCAAATGGTACAAAAGAATCAAGGGATCCAAGCAGACCAAGTACTCTAAGGGAAAATGTTCCCGAAAAACCAAGTGATGTAGGGAAGAGAAATGGTATTCTTAGGGACCCAAATGTTCCAGGAAAACCGAGTGATGTAGCAAAACCAAATGGTCCAAATAATCAAGTACTCTTAGGGAACCAAATGGTCCAAGAAAACCAGGATATAAGACAACCTGGTGAACACAATTCACCACCAAAATGTGACAAAAAAAGAATTGCGGACAAAGTGAGTGTTTGATCGACAAGGCAGGTGTCTTCTTCGCAATGTCACGAGGTAATCACGCGAGACATACGTGCAGTGTCGCGGCGAACAGGTGCGTCACTCTTTGCTGACAAGGTCAAAATTATTGAGTTCACAAGTATAAGTCACCTTTGCACTGTGATAGTCACACCTTCACAATAAAAAACTAAACGCGAACTGTTGCGACGAATACAAGTCGGAAACAGAAAATGTTTTACTTGTACAGGTAGGTGTACAGGTACAAGCAAGCGGAGTGGAACTTAGCTTGGTGCACCTGCCGCGAGAGTCCGCGTCGTAATGGGAGCGGGGCAGCGGGCGGCAGGTAGGCAGGCCCTCGACTCGTCAACCTGCGGAGAAGGGGAATCAGTCACATGGCCAGGTTCTACAGAGGGACTTGGAGAAGGTGATATAGAGTGGTAGTGGTTTGATTCCCGCTGCTGATGCTAATGGTACGCACGGTAGAAAGAAGAAGAAGAAGAAGAAGAAGAAGAAGCGGAGGAGAAGAGATACAGAAGTACAAGTCAAAGATCGTCCCCTTACTACTTTCGGTTTGTCCAAACTATCAACAAATCTGACACGGAGGATACCTGCCAAAAAATAATTTTTTCACAAAGATCTTGTGGCAAAATATATCCGTTATACTTTTTTCGAATTTTACACAATTTAACACAATTTTCCCTTGTTGGTTTTTTCGAATAATCAATTGATTGATTTTTATTTCTGAATTTAGATTTCTACTCAACGGTGATTTGTTCCTTTTCAAAACGTTCAAAAGAGCGACCATGCTAATTAAAAACATTCTATATAAGTAAATTTTAAACAGAAGAGTATCAATCGCTTGTGAGAGAACTTTCATGCCATCCAGGCGGCGATTCAAAGAACTGAATGGCGCGAAATTCAAAAAAAGGAAAATTTAATTGACAGTCACATTGGATTACTAATATGACTCCGGATCTTAAAAGTGCACTTTCAGCATTGATTTTGAATGATAAAAGTCCCCGTTTATGATCCGGAGCCTTAATTAATATCTAGAAAGAAATTAATTGTATTAATTTCTATTTAATATTTATGAGTTCACAATGAGTTCAGAGACAAAAAAGAAAAAAATACTGTGACTATCATGGACTTAAATTATGAGCTAAGCGTCAGTTCTAAACGCAAAGCATATACATCAATAATATTCTATAAAGGAAAATATTTAATTTTTAACTCAAGAACGAAACTAACTAGTACTAAAAATATATTTAATTCGAAACGATGGTATAGAAACATGCACCTGAGGTGTTGACCATGTAACCATTAGTTGTCTTAATAGCAACATTAGTTCAGTTCTGAGTATCAGTATTAAATAATTTTCCCGCACATCTAAAGACCACTGACTTGTTAAAAGTATTTCAAAATGTAGTGTCTCTTATATTTCAACGTGTCATTCTTAAATGTATATATGTGCTCTTAAAACGAGAATCAGTTTTTTCTTTCATTCTACTGAACATAATCACGTGTCTCTAAATTCGAATTAGTGAAATATTTTGCTAGAAAATAGAAATTCTGATTGCTGGTAAAATTGAAATCGTTTAGTGAAATACTTTTTTTTTCTTTTAGTAATTTAAATTTTGACTTTTTCTCTGACCCTAAAAGAATATTCTGATTCACTTTAAAAATGTTTAGATATTGAGAAAAATGTTCTAATACATTTATTTAAGAATTTCCTTGGAAAATTATTCAAAAACCGAAATTTATTTTTAAATCAATTTTTATTAGAAAATAATAAATATATAATATAATAATAAATACTTAGAATAGTTATTTAAAAAAAACATTTCAAAAAGTTATTGCTTTAAATACAATTTATTCAATGTCAATAAAAAATATTTGATTCAAATAAATTTTTTCTTCAAGGAAACAAAAATAATTTTGTTCTCCAAGAGTTGAAAGGTTTGTTTTATTTCCATTTATTTGCAAAATCAGGGTGTCTACTGAAAATATGACTTAAAATTTCAGAACAATTTCAAAGACATTCCAGGACAGATTTTTTATTTTTCCAGGACATTTATATGTGTGAATTCAGGGATTTTCACTAAAAGTACTGGAAAAAATTAAATTTTTAGAATTTATAGGAAAATTCTGAATTTTTGTGTCTTTTTTGTTTGCCTTATAAATTATGAAATTGCTAAGAATTCTAATACAAACCCTTCAATTTTTTCTATTTTTGACAATAATTTCTTTTTAAATAACTTTTAAATAACTTCGCAAAAATTCAATAATTATGTTCAAAATTTTTTTTTAAATTCTCGACAAAATTTCAATTACCTTTATAAAAAATAAAATTCTCCACCAAAATTCAATTATTTTCAAAAAATTTAATAAAATTCTTGGCAAAATTTCAATTATTATTTTCAAAAATTTTCCTCATTTCAATTATTTTTGACATGTACTATTTTAATAAAATTTTCCAAAAGAATTCTATTATTTAAACAAAATTTTAATAAAAATTTAACAGGAATTCAATTATTTATCAATTTCTTTTTTAAATTTCTTCGCATCAATTCAATTATTTTACATTTTTTAATGAAGTATCCCGAAAGAATTAAAATATTTAAAGAAAATTGAAGAAAATAATCTGAGAAATTCAATTATTTCGAAAAATTTAAATAAAATTCTTTTAATAATTTTATTATTTAAAAAATCAATTATTTTCTTTCTTGAGAATTTAATTATTTTTAAAAATTTTGATAAAATGCTTTATAAATTTGAAAAATTATAATAAAATCGGTCATAGAATACAATTATTTCCGTAAAATACAACATTTTTTCTAGAAATACAATTATTGTCAAAAATATTTTTAAAACTCTTTGAAACAATTCAATTATTTTCGTAAAAAATAAAATTCTTCTAAGCAATTCAATTATTTAAGAAATTTTAATAAAATTCTTCCCAAGAATTCAATTTTTTTTCAAAAATAAACATTTTCACAGGAATTCAATTATTAAAAAAAAAATTTTTTTTAATTCTTTGTCAGATTTCAATTATTTTCAATTTTTTAAAGAAATTTCTAGATGGAATTTAATTATTTTTAAAAAGTTCATAAAAATTCTGAAAATTCAATTATTTAAAAAAATTTGAATAAAATTTTTCACAAAAAATTAATTATTTACATAAATAATAATATTTTTCTCTGGAATTCAATTATTTTTACAAATAAAATTCTTCACAGGAATTCAATTCTTTAAAAAGATTTTTAATAAAATTCGTTACAAGAATTCAATTATTTTCATAAATAACAAAACTTATCGTAGAATTTCAATTATTTTTATAAAATTTTAAATAAATTGATAAAAAAAATTGCATTTATTCTTACAATTTTTTTTTAAATTCGCCGAAAGAATTCAATTATTATTAAAAATTTTTGATAAAATTCTTCATAAAAATTAAATTCTAAAAAATATGCAATTGTATTTAAATAATTGAATTCTCGGGAAATTTTCTAATAAAAATTGATTAAAAAATGAATTTCACTTAAAATTTTAAATTATAATTGAATATTGAAAACATTATAGCGTGAATTTTTAGAAATAATTGGATTTTGAAAAGGGTTAAAATTAAAATCTTTGAAAAATTAAATTTATAGTTACAATATTCTTATGAAATAAAATAATGATTTTATTACTTTGTCATCTTAAATTTATTATAAAACATGAGGAAATCGATCACTCCGAGTCTTCGACTCGGAGTGATCGATTTCCTTATGTTTCATTATAATATTCTTATAAGTTATTGTAATAACATTTTATATTACGATTAACATAATTTAAATTAACCTACTTGAACAAAAATATTGATATTTTTATTATAAAATGAGTTAAAAATCAATATTGTAGATATCAGTTTCTTTAATCAAATGACAAATTGAAATTATTTTTTGATGGATCAAAAAAATTATTTTTTAAAATTTGAGTTAAATTTTTAAATTATTGAATATTGAAAAGCAAAATATGGAAAATTCAAGGACAAAAGTTCAAAATCCAGAATATTTTAGGACATTTCCAGGAATTCTAGGACTTCAAGGATCAGTAGACACCCTGAAAATAATAAAGTAATGGAAATATTTATGAAGGAAAAAATAATATTTGAATAGTTTGACCCCTTCCCTGTCTGGTGAAAAAATAGTTTTTAGTCCACAAACGGTTTAAAGAAATGAGTAAATATTTTCTATATACGATCCGCTATTTTAAATTTTTGAAATCTAATATCAGTGATTGAAATGACTGACAAGAGGTTAATGTTTGAGATATTAAACGATTTGAGAATAGTAATTTATGAGATGAGAAAAAGAAACAAAAGAATAAAGTCCTTCTCAATATGCATCACCTGTAGCCTGCCTTCGATAAAAATGGACAGAAGTCCAATGATTAGAAATATACCGCTACTTGATTAATTCGATAAATATTTTTCGCTCAAACCTTTTTTGGTGGAACATATATATTTCGATGAAAGATATTTCGACGAGAACCATATTTCCAATTAATATATACTTGGGATATTGGGAGTGATTTGCAATAAGACAATCTTTATGTCTGAGAGATTCCATCAAAGTCAGATGGGGTCATTTAATTCTAAGAGATGAAAAGATTTTACGATGAACGTTTTATCGAGACTTCTTTTCAATTTGATGTTTTTCAATCGATATCGATATCCTGAGGGTTCATCAGGGTCACTTTATCCTCGGAGTCGAGGTAACCGGTGGCGTTCATGGATATGTGTTTATTATTTATGAGCAACGCCTCTCCAGCCTCTCCAGCGAATCGACCAGTTTCTCTCTGCCTACCGGTTGGCAGTCGAGAGAAGAAGAAGCAATGTGGATAAGGTATTACGTCTTCATATTTTTCCATGCGACCGGTAATTAAAGGTGCCCCCACCGTTCCCCGTCGTGCCTGATTTATTTTCCAACAACGTCATGATAAGATGAGAATCACTGATAACGGGGTGCCCCTTTGTATCCCGAAGATTAACCGGACTCGGCATTATTCGACCTGACCCGCCGGCTACTGCATTCAACAACACACAACTTCTTGTAGCAACAAACTCGTTTAGTTAGTCCTTCACAAGGATCTGTGTGCGCTGATCATGCGTCTGCCTCCTTCTGTACTCTTTCCTTTTCTCTTAAATTAATTAAAATATTACCCCCCTTTTTCGATCCATGCATTCTAAATAGTTATGAATAACATTAAGAACCAATTTTTCTTCAATTATAATCATATAATAAATCTTAATTCCTATACTTGCTCAGAATATTTTATACACCATCACCATCA